ATTTAACAAAGATATGAAATTATTTAAACTTTGTTACAAATTTAATATAATTATATTTGTTACATTTGTGCAAAAATAAATATTTAAGAAATTATGTACTTGATATAATTTATATTAATAAAATATATGATATATGAATATAATAAATATTGTTTTTAATTAATAAAAGATGATGAAATTATTAAGGAATTAAATGATGGCTGTAGTAACGATCAAATTGTGTATATGTTAGATGGTGTTACTGGAGTATTCGACGTCGATCAACTTGTTGAGTTACTGGAAAGAGATAAAGCCAAGAACATCTTTGTTGCTTCCGTTCCCAAGGAGTACGCTTACGTGGACTACATTGTTGTTGTGACCGGAAATTCACAAAAGCACATGAACGCTTTAGCCACTTTTATACGCAAGGTTTACAAACTGAAAAGATATCAAAACGAGTTGATACCTAAAATCGAGGGGGAGAAGTCAAAGGATTGGATGGCTTTGGATTTAGGTAATATTGTATATTCTTTGAATTAGGAAATTATATTTTATGTTTTAATAACTTACAATTCTCAATATATATAATAATGTCAAAAGTTTCTAGTCAATGAATAATAAAATTATACATATTACATAATTATATACAAGTATATAATTACATTATTATTTGTATAAATTTACACAAATATCTGTAATCATTTTTCAACATTTTGTTTAAAAATGTAAAAATAAGATAATCTAGAAATGGGATAAAAAATGTAAGAAAATCGTAATTATATTATATATTTATACAATATGTAATATAATTATTTTCATCTTGTTTCTAGACATCAAAATATTGAAAAATATTTAAAGATAATCTACGTATCATTCTATATGATCACTATATGTTAAGTAGTATAAGCTCTCCACAAGCTTACTACTTATAAATAATTGAAGTACATAGATAACATTAATAACTATAAAATAATTTCGGATTTATTAAAGCAATTTACAAAATTATGCATTGTTTGTATTGCAGGAAATATCGCTCTGCATATTTTATCTGACTCTGCTAGAGAACATTACGACTTGGAGACTCTATGGACTGTCGGTTCGCAATATGATGATAAGACCAATACATCTGAAGAATTAAGCATTATGGATCAGTATAATGCCTTCTTAGCTGATCTCCAACCAGCTGATAATGCTCGATGATTTGCAAACGTGTACTTTAATGAAAAAATCCTAAACTAGTCTAATAAAAAAATGATACAATTAATAATAAAGGTATTATTATATTAGGAGTATAAATAAGTTTCCGCCGTTTTTAATCAAAAATTGGGCATTTATTGTGAAAGAACGATACCTAAATTTTATTCGAAGTATTGTCCATCGCTAGCCACTACTTTTTTCCATCTTTCTGGCAGCATACGGATATCGCGTCGGAAAAACGCTTCATCTTTTGAAGCCATCCACGAATCGACCCAATTTTTG